AGGTAGAGAGAGAGAGAGGTGTGTAAGTGTGTGAGAGAGGTAGAGAGAGAGAGAGAGGAGGTGTGTAAGTGTGTGAGAGAGACACCTCATAGTTTGAGAAAGAGGATTATTTTAGTCATTTTCAAATTTGTCAGTGTCAAGACACACTTGGCCACAAACAATTGACTGGTACAGACGCACAATACATAGACAACATACATAATAATAAGCACAGTGTGTTTTTATTATTATGCACAAATGTCTTCATGTCTGTTTTGTTTTGGCCGTCTTCCATTCTTACGTTCTCTCGTCGTCTGAAATTCACATTTACACCTGACATGAGAAGTAGCAAGTGCAGTACTGGATGTTTTGCCAGCATCTTCAGTTCCCTTGTTTGTCCATCAGGGGGCGTCTTGCACATGTAATCTCCCCTCCACCACACGGTATCAAGTGAGAGAACACTATGACAAGAATATAATGTGTTTCAAACATTATCATCGGAGTCGTGTACGGAAGGAAAACTGAATTTTAAAGAATGCCCAAACAGTCCTGAGTAGATTTGCCAGGTGGCCCCCGGCTCGGATTGGTTCGCGTCCCGTCTCTGGCAGCCAATTGTGTCGCAGTTTCTGTGAGTCATCATAATCATGTCTCATGTTGCTGTCCATTTCCAGGGGTGGTCCCATTGATAATAACACAAGCCGCAGCTCATCGAAGCCCCCTGCAGCATGTCCACCTTCTCCAGACACACTGCCTCCAGCCCCCAACAGGTACTGCATCACAAACAGCCCAGGAGGGAGGGAAGGAGGGAGGGAGGGAGGGAGGGAGGGAGGCTCATTTCTGCTTTGTCATTTCCTGCTCTGCTGCCTGCATCTCTCCACCCACATCACAACAAGTACAACCACAACCTTCCCGGAAGTGAAATACTGGCATTTACAATTTATCACAGTCCAACAAAAACAAAAGATTAAAACCTTCTTCTTGTCCGTCTCAATCCTCCAGCCTGATTTCTTTATTTCCCTTTCATGTCCAGTGTCATCACAGTTAATCGGTCATGTCACCCTGCAGGTCCGTCAGTGGGAAGAAGCTGTGCTCCAGCTGTGGGCAGCCTCTGGGAAAAGGTGCAGCAATGATCATAGAGACCCTCAGCCTCTACTTCCACATTCACTGCTTTAAGGTGAGTGATGAAGAGGGCGGATCAGCTTCCTCAAACTTTTAGTCTCATTCTGTTTGTTCGTATCACAGTCACACTTATTGCCGAGCAGGTTTTTAACCTACAACCGGTTTGTTGTGGTGCGTAACAAACATAGTCATAGTTTCAGAGTCACCTGTAATAACTTATAATTATTATTTTCCGTTCATCGTGCTGTTCTCTGTCTTCCTCAGTGTGGGGTGTGTAAGGGACAGTTAGGCGACACAACCACGGGCACGGACGTTCGAATCAGAAACGGCCTCCTCAACTGCCACCAGTGCTACATCCGCTCCCGCTGTGAGTACGCCCTCCCCTCCCCCTCCCCTCTCCTCTCCCCCATCCCAGGTCATCCTCACCCCTCCACCACCCCTCTCTGCCCTTGCCTGTCTCCATACACCCTCCTCTTCCTCTCTCTCTTCTCCCACCATCTCTGCACAGATGTTTGTGTTCATCCATCAAAAGCAAAAAATGAATTAGGAACGTGGTCGAGTTCTGTCAGCAGGTCTCAGAACATCCACCACAGTCAACGACGAAACACACCCACCAGAAATAAATGAACAGTTTCCCTGTTACATCAGGTTCATGAACATTCTCAGGGGTTGAGGGGAAAAAAGAAAAACAGATGAATAAACGTCATCGTGAACCAGGCAGAGAGAAACCGACCAGAGTGTGTTTGATTCATCGTTTTCAAACATCATGATTAATCCATTCAAGGAGCATTTCGAAGGTTTGATCCTTTATTGCCGCTCCCTGCTGTGAGGCTGATAATACCAGGGGGATTTTTAATAAAGAAATCCTCACCGGCGAGTGCAGCTTTAATGAAGCAGTGTCAGACACAGTGGAGCTGTGCTGAATGGGAGGGATGGATGTGAAGAGAAAGTGGTGATGCTGCGGCTGAGAGAGGATGAGTGTAACTTTCCATCCCTTTCACCTTGACTGCGCAAAAACAAAATAACCTCTGAGCAGCGGATGTCATCAGAGAAAACCCCAAAATCAAATCAAGAGATCCAATCAAAAGACTCTTGACTCATTATGAGTGTTTTTTCCTGCCTGGACCCAGAAAACAAGAACGGTGATTTGTAAAAATGTTCTTCTGTATCTTTTTCCTTTCAAGCGGCCGGACAGCCCACCACGTTGTGACGCTCAACTGAAAAAGCACAAGGTTCACAGAAGGAGCCCCATCCCTGCTTTAACCCGATTATCTGCAAATCATGTCCTTCAGCGTGCGGCGGGATCTTTGCATCCTCTGCAGCTCAATAACCAATGAAGATTCATCATGTGGGGCCGAGTGGGGATCTGGGGACAGTCACACAATGACAAAAAAAATATATATATATAAATATATTCATCGTGTTTATGTCATCTGATACGTGAGTGAAATCTGGATTTGATTGGTCCACGCACCACCACAGACTCCGTTTCATCACGCGGCGAGAAAGAGAGAGTCGGCTCGGGGGTGGCGGCCATGTTGAAAAGAAAAGATGCAGATTACAGATGCTTTGAACGCAGTCGACGTCCTTCACTGTCGGAGTGAACACACAAAGAGAAAACGGTGTTTGAATCGAGAAGTGGAATCAGATTCTATTTTCCTGGATGGAAAAATGATGTTAATGTTTCAGTTAATAGCTTTCGGTTCCATATGATGGAAATGCAGTAAATCGTTGAGTTAATGTCATCATTTAAGAAAGATTATTTTCATAATTACATTTGATAAGAAATCCAAAAGCCAGGATTGAAAGATGAGGCAGCTCAGATCAGACTTTTTAATTTCTCGTAACTGGATCTGAATTAGTTTCATGATTTCACGTCCCTGCAGCAAACGACACGACCAAAACAAAAAGGTTTCTCAAGCTTCATTCAGAAAGTGAAGTGAAGGTCACTATAAAGCCTCTATATCCACCGTAGTGATCTCTCACGTCCCCGTGTTCTGTGCTCGGGGACGAGAAAAAAAAAAAAAAGAACCCTCTAATATAAACACATATTATGGACGTAGGTCATCATCGGGGCAATAACAGCTGCTGGGCCGCAGGAGGTTGTTGCTCGGGTCAGGAGAAGTCAGGACTTTCATGTGCCTTAAGAAAGCAAGAGGGTGCAGGGAGAAGAAAACACACACCTGGGGTGGAGGGAGGGATTTGGCCAAATTGAAACTCTTAAAAACTGCAGACGGAAAAGCTGCAGCCCTCCCTCACCCTCACATCACGCTTTACTGCAGAACTTTTTATTTCCACTTAAGCAACACGTTTAATTTCACAACGCCCCCCTGGTATTCCTCCGTGATTTGAAGTGACGAACACAATGCAAATAAAGGAATACGGAAGAATATAGAGTATATATATATATATATGTTTGTATATATATATATATATATATGTATATATCTACTGCAGGGGAAACCATACATTTTATTTTGAATGTTTTGCTCTAGAACGGTTTAGACTTCTGTATGCTATTAATTGAGGTAATTTTGATAATTGCTCAGTGGTAAGGATTCATTTATAAAATAAAAAAAATTAAGAATTAAAAAGTCACCAGTACATGTTCCATCCAGTAAGAACAGCAGCGGTAACATGGACACACACATACCAGCAGCAGCAGTTGCACCTGTGCAATATTTGGTTGGATGGAAACTAAAGATCTTTGCCGCCAGCTGGAAAACGCCAAGTCAGTCGCTTCTTTTCTTTTTATGAAGTTGTATGAGAAGAGCTTGGTTCTGTATTGTGGATCTCTTTTCTTTTTTTTTTTTTTTAAATGCACGTTTAAGCCTAAAACCAAATGATTTGCTGTATGAAAGCAAACTAGCAGCCTCCTCCTCCTCCTCCTCCTCCTCCTCCACCTCCTCCTCCACCTCCTCCATCTATAGCCAAGCTTCTCCAGGTTCATCTCTCTGATCTACAGTATTTTTAAGCTTCTGTTCCGATTGTGTATTTTATTTTTTATCCTCATTTAGTTGATGAATAAATCTCGGCTGAGTCTCTTATAGCAGGATCTTTGAGACGGAGGCTCTATATTCAGACGGTCTTCTTTAACGGGATAGCTGGGAAATGGAAACCTTTAACGTCTGTTCTGTATTTATTGTAATATTCACCTGAACACTATCTGAAATATAGATTAATTTGATGTTTAAATGCAATGGCATTTATAGCATACTGTATGTTTATAAATAAAATGTTATAAATTTTAAACAGTGTGCCTCCGTCTTTTAATTTTGAAGTAACCCTCAAATAAATACCAGATATTTTTGATGAACTAAATAAATACTTCAATACTTAAATACTTTAAATGACCAGTTCTGCAGATGAACTCCTGCCACTGGCTGTGAAACATGAAAAACACAAACTAACGTCTCTTTTTTGCAAACCTGTGTTTTACCGTGCTGCCATCCTGAGCTTCTGTTTCTCTAATTTAACCTTTTAATTAACCGGGTTCCTGTTGAGGTCGGGAACTTGAGAGCAAGATGAAGCTACGGCTCAAAACTGCTTAAAATAATAGACAAATAAAATCAAACAATGAATAAACACCACACCAAAAATAAATAAATCTTACTTTACTGTTATTATAGTTTTTGGTTTGGTGTTTTGTTCAATGAAGAAGTAACTTTAGTTATTGTAATAACTATGATTTGATTTATTTGATTATAACTGCTTTGACTTAGTTAAATGTGAAACTCAGATTAAAGGAAGGTGAAGAAAATCTTAATAATCTGAAAAACGTTTGACTGAATTTGCAGTTTCTGTATCTGGAATAAAATCTTAATGTGTTGATTCGAATCCACAAACTGGTGGTGAAATATATTTTGGTTCTAACTCCTCAGGGGTGAATGTTTGTTAAAACCATGAATATTTTTCAGTTGAATCTCCAGTCGCACACGTTCTGACGAATTCAATATATTTAAGTATATATAATCAATCCCACACAGAGCTTTTAAAAACAAACTTCCCTTTTAAAATTAATTTAAATCTACTAACTTTCTTCGTCTTACTTTCCCCCTCGTTGTGGTGACACCTTCTGGTTTCCTTAATTTCACACATTAGAGGCCTGACACTGTTTGTTTAATGAGCTGCTGATGTTTCAGTTCATCTGAAGATGAACCAGAAAAATAAATTCTGAAAAGTGAATGAACGATGAAACAGTGCGTTGCTGTCCGTGGTGCTGAATTCTCGGGCCTTTTCAAAATAAGCTTCGTTTTATGAGACAGAAACTCATATTTAAGGATTTTATCATCAAAGATCGTGTCGAGTTGTTCTCTATAATATTAATAATGATGCTAAATGAATATATTTTTGTTTGTTTGTCAAAAAGAAAACATGACAAAGTGAACTTGGACTATTATTTTTTTTTTTTTTTATCATCAACAACCATTTCAATGGTACACCTGGAAAACTATGTGCACATGTAGAAATATTTCCTTCTTAAATATAAGCATTCATTACCTACATATAAATAACTTTCAGATCCTGGACAAAACATGTTACATAATGCTCACAAAATGGGAGGGAACTCATTGTAAAATCAGACAAAGAGACAACATGCAACTTATATAGAAATAAATACAATGTTTGCATCCATTCCCCTTTTTTTTTTTTATACCCAAAATAAATTCTTCCAAGGGAAATCTTTGTAAAACATCAAAAAAGACTCTGTATGATCGATCTACGAGGGAGTATGGCCTATGGTTCAACTATAGGAGACAGTAATACGTATTCACACTATACAATTTGAGCCACAAAAACACTGCCGTAGAAAGACACACAAAACACACAGCTCTCCTGTCGGGGGGCGAACATTGCAGAGGTTTGTGCCTTATTTTTTTTTTTCTTCTCTCGAGGAAATAATTGTGTTTATATCGATAATTTAAAGAAACGAAACTCAGCTGTAGTTCTTCCACAGAAGGTTTTGGATGTTTGTAGTTTCAGGGTTCGTGGGTTTGTCCTCGTGAAGTGTCTCTACCGAACAAAGCAGCTGTTGAACTCTTGACGTCGGTGTTTGCTCATGAGCACTTCCTCAAATATTCGCTTTAACGAGTCTCTTCATCCACTGCTCACTCTGAAATGTGTGTGTTTTTGTGGTTGTTGTGGTTTTTTTCCCTTAAAACACGAGGAATATTTTTGATGGACTCATGAATCATCTCAACACAAGTTATTGTCTTTAGATATTCAGTCCTGAAACAATCCACCCAACTTGTTTTAAGAAAAACAAACGACTTGCCAGGATGGATATTTTACAGCGAACGTGTTTTTAACTGACCACAAGAAACGGTGCAAGGCTTCAAAATAAAAGAACAGGAGTTGTTGTCATCATCTTCTGTTTAATTAACTGCGTTTTATTGTCCGTGTGAGTCTGGAGCAATTTGCTTTTCAGTCTCTGGAGAAGGAGGAAAACTTCTCTTCTCCTCCGCTCTGTGTTTTCTCCTCCTCCCTTCATTCAGCCTCATTAGAACATGCTGGTCTTTACTAAAGTCGCTTTGGCTCCGTTCTGTCTTTGCAACGACGACAGTACGCTGGCGAACGGCCCGCCCAGCGAGTCCGGGATCGAGGTGATGGTCCCCGGGGCGGTGGCCCAGCCTTGGCTCGGTGCTGTCACCGCCATCCCGGTGGACACGGAGGTCTTCACCTGGTCCACCTGTCCGTTCCCGGTGGTGTTGACCTGCACGCCGGTGGGGCTCGGTCCGCCGCAGTTGGAGGTGGGCACCGGGTTGAGGCCCGGGCCTCCTGTGCTGTCTGGGTCGGTGGATTTGTTGTCTTTGCTGTCTTCGTCTCTGGAGTCGGACTTCTTCCCAGAATTGGACTTGGCAGCCGCTGCGGCAGCTGCAGCAGCCCGCTCCTGCTTGCGGAACTTAGCGCGTCGGTTTTGAAACCACACCTGGAAAATAGAGGAAGAGTTAAACCACTGATGCGTCAGTAAAGCGTTGACTCAACTACAAACTGTTAAAAAAGGGATTTTGTTTTTAAAAAAATCCTGTTTGCATAATAAATCCACCCGTGCGTAACTGTGCGTAATTGCGCGTAACTGGAGACCAAACGGCTGTTACCTGCACTCTGGCTTCAGTCAGATCGATCTTGAGTGCGAGCTCCTCTCTGGTGTAGATGTCCGGGTAGTGCGTCTCCGCAAAAACCCGCTCCAGCTCCTTCAGCTGGGCGCTGGTGAACGTGGTCCTGATGCGCCTCTGCTTCCTCTTCTCGTTCAGTCCTCCGTGATCCGTGAACAGTTTGTAGGGAACTGTGAACAGAAACCGAGTGTCACCGTCAGACGTGTAAAAGCACAGCAGAGCAGCGTGTGTGTTGTCAAACGGAAGAAAAATACAAATTCGATATTTTGTTTAAAATCCGGTGAAGGACGCTGAGCCAGAGCTTTGAATCCGGTTACGCGCGTGGTTGTGGGTGAATTAGTTGTGAATTGATAACGTCGCTGACCTGTGATGCGGTTAATTGTAATGTTAAACTAATTGTTGCTGCTCAGATTGAGGCTCGAGTTTGAGAACTTGTCATAATGTTCCCATCCGCCCCGCGTGCTGCTACTGTAACTCCAATTCGGTGTCAATAATGAGCTTTAGTCTTTGGTTATCTAATTATTTTCGAAGCTTTATGTCTCATCGCAAAGTAAATAAATTATGCCTATCATTTTGGCAGCTTACGATAATTCTGTTGGCGGTTTTGGGTGTGACTGGGATAGTATAACCCCGTAACCGAATTACCGCTTGCCTGCAATCGCTTCTAACGTGATAAATTCTTTCATTTGTGTAAGCAAATTTCGTTTGGTAAATACTAAACACATTTCCATTTTCAAATGCAATCAAGGCGTCCTATAATACGCCGGGGTTGTGGCTCCGGAGCCGCTGCTTACCTGCGGCATACGGGCTGCTCTGGTGGTCCCGCAGGGTCCCCAGGCTGCAGGACCCCGGCGTGAGGGACGGGCAGCCGGAGGTGGCCCCGAACGTGGTCCTGATGGGATTGTACTGAAAGCCACTGGCCTGACTGCACGAGCTGAAGTCCGCATAGGCCGATGCCAAGCTCGACGTGTCCATCCCGGCCATACATGACTCGTAGGCAGAGGAATTTAGGTAAGAATACTCCATTTTATACATTTGAGAAGACTCGGTGGAGTTAGAAAGCTGCACTTCCCGAGAAACAAAAAAACACGGCAAAGAAAAACAGCCCCCCCAAAAAAAAACCTGGGTTGGAAAGGAAAATAAAAAAAATGAGAACGAGCAGGACGCGCGGTCTGAGTTTGGGGGAAAGAGGATTTGGTTTGGACTGGATGGAAGGAGGCTGGACGGTGGGTAGATGTTCACTGCTCAGCGCCTGCTCCAAAACTGGCCTCCTTTATAGGAACCTAGCCCTGTTTTATGAAAACCCCCCTAAGAGCCGCCTAGCCCGAGGTCTCTAGAGCATATAGTCCTCATAATAAACTTGGCTCTTTCCGCTTGGACAATAGCAAAGCGTTTGGTCTTATTGCTAGCGCTTTTTTACATGACAATAACTCATCAGTCTATTGGGCTGGCACTGGGGGCCCGGGCTGTCCAACCTCCCTATCATTGATCCCCTGCATCTCTAATTAGAATTTAATACCACGCCATTACGCACCCCTCCACCGCCTCCACCTCTCCATCCCTCCATCCCTCTACCCATCCGCCCCACTCCTCTCCAACCACCATCTTGCCCTTTAATTCAATCACACCACTTGGAAATAATGAAAGTTGGGTGACGATTCTCCCTGATCCAATTTTCTCCAAGCTTTTAAGCCTTTTAAGCGACCGTATACCTTGGGCAGGATTTCACAGAGTATTCCCCCCCTCGTGCCTCCTCTCTCTGTCCGTCTGCTCCGGCTCTTTTCACTGCGGCTCCAGACTGTGGTCTCCCCCCGATGAGTGCAGCCAAAACACGGGCATTATCATCCAGCAGAGCGACCCACCGCTGGCGCTCACGTACGAGAGACTCGTAATAGAAAATATGTAGTTTCATCACAATCAAGTTCAACCGGGTTCAGAACCAAAACTCTCAGGCTCGTTTTCTTCTGTCTCTTCGGGGAAACTTGAGAAAAATCACAGAAACATTCACATGATCTGAATTAATAATCTGATTTTTCATTTGTCTTTAAGGCAGAAATATAATTTTAACACTGAATGTGAAGAGAAATCTTCAGGTGCAGTGCCACACGCTTTCCCCTTTCTTTCTTCTAGTTTCATTTCACCTCGCACTAATGCCTTTTTATTACTTTAATTAGGATTTCATACATTTAAACGAGGACACTGTAATTTCTGTGCAGCAACTAAAACTGAAATGAAACTCAGCAACAGTCTCTGTGGGGTTGAAGCCCTGGATGTGACATTTTACGCACAGTAATAAACAGATTTATTGGCTTCATTCAGGTTTCTCCTGAATCTTCTCCTGCACCTCAGCAGCATCACCTCTGCTGAACTGTGTGGGTAGTTTTTTTTGTTGTTGTATGATTCAAATGAGTTTGTAATTGTCTTTATTACTTTCATTATTTCATTTATTTGGCAAATAACATCTTTGTAATGAAAGTAACGAACTGGTGAGGCTTTCATCGGACCTCTTAGGCTGCACTATATTGGCTGAGTGGTTAATTTGGTTTGTGTAATAAGGTGAAGCGTTTTCTATGGCGCTCACACGTTCTCTGACTTTTTTTTTTTTTTAACCGAGTTCAAGTCCCTTTTTTTTTTTTTTGTTCCAAATTATCGAAACGCGAAAAGGCGCCACATGAATGATGGCGCATCAATTGGATTTATTCGACGAGTGTTTGATTTTTAAATCTCTTCACCTCTGCTCGTGTTTCAGTGATGGATCTGTGTGGTGATCTTCTCCTTTTCTCAGCCTCTAAAATCATAACATCCTCACAGGGATATAATTCTCATTGTGTGTGGTTGAATCAGGATTTCTATTCGATTTTTATCGTCGTGCTGTTATAGAATAGATTTGATTTGTCCTTCACAATATTGATCTTATTTTTTCATCACAATTAAGGAAAGATGGAGTAAATTCCCACTAAAACATGTATTCCTTATAATTGAGAGTTTATAGAAATGTGTAAAAACGAATGATGTTGACAGGTCAAACCACAAAGATCAATTTCAGTTTTAAATTATTTTTATTAGAAATGTTGAGAGATTCTGGTACAAACATTCTTTTAACCTCAGTTTCATGTTTTTTCATTTTGATCTCCAAACTCAAATGAGGCTTTAAGTAAATGAAACTCGTTTTATTATTTAAAAGCAGATTATGGCCTCGGACAGTTGGTCCGTGTTGCCTGAAGGTGCAGCTCCATATTCTCTGTTAAAACACACAACACCCGCTCAGATTCGCCATCAATTATTTTTCCTCCACAATTGTTGACGTGTTGCAGTGTGTTGCTGCTCCTTTTCTTTTCGTGCGCACATTGTCTTCTCAGAGATCAGTAAAAAGAAAGTTAATTCTTTCCTGAGACAACCCGGTCCCTATTATGTAAATGTTTTCTTCTTCTTTTTTTCTCCACACACGAGCTGGGACCTAAAAGTTGTACCAAATGGTTAATTTGATTATTGAAACCAAAGAGCCAAATGGTTCACCGTCCTCCCTCCACGCGTCTGGCAGCGAGAAAAGAAACCATCTCTGGGAATTAATCTAATAACGCTCAAAGAAACGAGGAGTCTTTTCTGATATTTCGCCGAGGCAAATACAATTATAGCTTTTAGCCATCGGTTTCTTTCACTGAGGCCGCTCTTTATTCTGACGCTCTATAGCCCCTGCACCATGCTCCACCAGCTATTGAGACGCCCCCTCTTTTATAGTTTCAACATCTTTTAATTATTTCAGCTGGTTCGGGTGGGCCGAGGAGCCACGGGATGAAAATCTGAGGCGAGAGTATTAAACCCGACAGGCGCGTCTCTGAGCTGCAGTACTTCTTCTTTTTTTTTTTTTTATTCAGCTGTCTTTCTTTTTGTTTTGAGATGTTTTGCAACGCGTGCAGACAGTTTACGCGCACATCCACATGTGGCACAGGAGCGCTGCGTAAAAACGGTGATTTACAGTAACGTAATGGTCTTTCAATTGAAGGGAAGCTGCATTTAATTTGTAATTATGTGGCAAAATGAAGAGCTTTAACCATTTGCCTTCACTTAAATAAATCAGCAAAATTCGATGTGTGCAAGACCCTAAATTCTCCCGGCAAGTGCCGCACAATAGCCGGTGTGCGGGAGCAACTCCTCTCCATTTAGTGCGCTCTATCGTTGCTCAGCAATATAGGAATGCGGGTCGACAGGAGGGACAAAAAGAGGAACAAAATGCCATTGTCTCTGGATGGATTGGATGGATCCACTCCCCCGAAAAGGCAAAGAAACAGAGGAGGATAAAGAGCGAGCGAGCGATGGGAGGGTCCCGCTGTCACATTTCACCGACAATGTCTCACTCCTCCGCCCGAGGAAATCCTGCGCTTATCAAAACGGTTATTAATAAGGCCGCGTGTTGCAGGGGAGGGGCTCAGCAGCAGATCAAAAAACAAATCTTTTTTTTTTGGGGGGGGGGGGGGTGCTCCCGTGACGATTTAGTGTGATGTCTCAATTGGACAGGAATGGATGAAGGCAAGGTTCTAAAGCTTTCACCTGCAGAAAGTGAACGAGACTCGAGACATCGTGGTTTTTATCCCAAAACAGAGCAGATCAGTGTTTTTAATTTTTGGTCCGTGTGACGCTGCAGTTATAAGATCTGTAAGATAAGAGTTAACTCATCACAGATGAATGTGGGGAAAAACAAAACCAGACTTTTAAGGTGTTCCAGGCCGGTGCGTAAAAGGCGCATCGCGTTTCCAAGCGCACAGATGGAAAGTGACATCTGGAGAAGAGACAAAATTCAATTAGAAGCTGGTGCCTTCGCTCTGTGTCTGCGAGGAATAAAAAAAAACCCGAGCAGCACAAAAGACTTCAGTGTTTCAGTCTCTGTGGAAGAAGACTGTGTTTTTTTTACGCCTTTTCAGCTGGTGCTTCTTTTTTACTCTGTCTCTGGAACCAGTCTGCTCATCAGCTGAGGCGCAAGAGCGTCATTGTTCTACACTTCAGTCTAATTGTTGAATATTCTCAGCTCGTTTCAAACGTTAAACTTAAAAATAAGGTGAAGCTCTGATATGAAAGAAGAGGAAAAGTTTCTATTTTTCTCACATTTATATGTGGAAATAACAGATTCATTTAAAACCCCTCCCCCCCCCGCAGTGAAAACAGGTAAATATAAAATCCTGTGTGTTGTTTAAAAGTGTTACTCTTCTCTGTTGTCTCCCATTAACTCGCCCTGTTGTTCTTCCAGATGCTGCAGCCTGCGGTTCCTGCATGCGGCTCGTCTCTCCGGCCTCTCCGGCCCCTCTGCGCCTTTATCTGCGCTCCCCGAGTGACCAAGAGCGCAGCCAGCGGATTAACATAAAAATCTTATTCCGGGGGATAAGATTAGGAAACATATTACCCTCGAACGCGGCCTTGGCACGGGCTCGAGCCAAGGCAAGGAATCAATTACTAAATTACTCCAACCTCTAAGTCGACATTAACGCAGAGAAATGCCATCGACCGCTTCTGAAATAAGATTTCGCAAAGATGTGATCATTAAATCTCTTGCCAGTGTTCAAGAATCTGATTCATAAAATCGTCCGAAATGAGATGGAATTAAATTCTTATCGGGGCTCTTGTCATCGTTTCATCCCGCGCTGTTTAACGTTGGTCAATGGCCTTCATGAGATTTCCCCCTGTAAATAAAGTTAGTAATTGAATCCGCCTCTCCACGACACATTGTTTGGTTGTTATTAATTTATTGCAGCCATGCGGACACACACACACACACACACACACACACACACACACACACACACACACACACAGTACTGCTGCATGTTTCCTGCATTGTGTTTTAGTTTTAAGGGTAAAAAAAAAAAACTACATCATCTGTCATTTTCTCCCCTCCCCCCCATGTGGGGGTCAAACCATATTTTATTTTAGCATAGTCCACTGGCATCACACACCCCCACACCCCACACACACACACCCTCGCCCCCCCACACACACCCACACCCGGGCATTAGCAATTGACAATTATTAGCCTCAGCTTCATAAATCAGCTGCGTGACCCGTTATTATTGTTGAATTGAATAGCTGTTGGGGAAGTGAGGGTCAGTGTCATTAACTTGGCCCCCTCCCACACACCCCCTGCCTCCCCTCTCCACATCCACATCCAGCCCCGCCCCCCTCTCCCCAACACCATCCTCGGGCCCCCTGAAGGCATTTGGCCCCTCTATACAAGGACCTGCTGGCTAATAATGCCGTGTGGTCGGCCCTAAAAGCTTAATCACACATGCATTAAGCGGC